TGGTCCGGCTGACCAAGAGTTGGTCAGCCCCGGACCAAGACGTTGACAAAAGTCAACCCGAGCCATTTTAACGTGCGGTCCGGCGGACCAAGTTCTGGTCCGCCCGGACCAAGCTCCAGAATCATTAACTCGACTTTTTCTTGCCTTTTCTCAAGTGGGAAGCAGGTGGGGATCATAAGGTCGATCATAATTCCGTCCTAGGCCATCTGATGAGCCAGAAGAACTTCTGGAAAACTCTCTCAAGTGTTGAGGAGTGTTCTTGAATCCAAAAGAGAGATTTGATCTCTTAAGTGCTCTAGCAAGCAAGTTTCCAAGTGTTGGAAACCATCCCAAGGGTGTGGACTGCTCAAGAGGGTGTTGGCTGCTTCAACACCTAGCTGTGATCTTCAACCAATCTTCAGATTCGGAATCAAAAGGTTAGTTATACTCTCCAAGAGGTTCTTCACCGAAACCATGGTCCGTGGGCGGTTCAAAATCGTTTTGAACGCCATCTCCGCTGCGCAAGCCCGCGGACCAGACCCGAGACCGGTTGTGAACCGGTGCTCGAGGTCCCAGTGCGACCCATCAAAAGTGGTGGTGCTTCACTTTTCGATGATCATTCAAGTGAGTTACCTCTCGATTCTAAAATCTTTGCTAAAATAATATTAGATTCCTTAAGTAAATAAATTTATGTATCATCAAATATTAAATTAAATTCAATTGTCTAAAACTAAGTTATGTGTGAGATTCATAGAATACAAAAATGACGTTTCTCATACACCATTATGAATATTTGTAAATGAGTATTACATACCACACCATTATCTTTACGTAAATGTTTGATGGTGTGTGAATGAATGTGAGGATAAACGTTTCATGATGTATACGACACAAAATCGTAACTTTGACGGTGACTGCATAAATTATAGGCAAAGAAATTCAAAAGACAAAGGAAGAGTGTGCAAAAGAATGCAATCACGTATGTGAAACTCTGCCTCATGCTTCTTGTGTCTCTTGTGAGACTTCTTGTGAAAGTGGTGGTGCTTCACTTTTCGATAATCATTCAAGTGAGTTAGCTCTCGATTCTAAAATCTTTAGTAATATAATATTAGATTCCTTAATTAAATAAATTAATGTATCATCAAATATTAAATTAAATTCTATTGTCTAACACAAAGTTATGTGTGATATTCATGGAATACAAAAATGGCGTTTCTCATACACCATTATGAATATTTGTAAATGAATATTACATATCACACCATCATCTTTATGTAAATGTTTGATGGTATATGAATGAATGTGAGGATAAACGTTTCATGATGTATACGAAACAAAATCATAACTTTGACGGTGACTGCACAAATTATAGGCAAAGAAATCCAAAAGACAAAGGAAGAGTGTGCAAAGGAATGCAAGCATGTATGTGAAACTCTGCCTCATGCTTCTTGCGTCTCTTGTGAGACTTCTTGTGAAATTGGTGGTGCTTCGCTATTGGATGATGATTCAAGTGAGTTATCTCTCGGTTTTAAAATCTTTGCTAATATAATATTAGATTCCATGAGTAAATAAATAAATGTATCATCAAATATTAAATTAAATTCAATTTGTGGTTCTATTACGGTTGCAGCTAGGGATTGTTATGCGAAATGCTACGATGATAGACAATGTGAAGATCACAAATGCTTTGAGATTTGTCACAAAAAATGCGATGGGCCTACTCCTCCTTCCTCTCTTTTCATTGGGTAATGACAATCTTAGGAAATATATATATATATACATACATACATATATGTGTGTGAACTAATTTGCTGTGACAAATGCAGGGTTCCGATGAATGAATGATAAAAAAAACAAGGTGTCGCTATTACAAGTCTTCCCCATAAACCTTCCAATATTTGTCTTAATAATTTAGAATACTATTTTCCAAAGGTTTGTTGAAGACGTTGTAATATCATTTCATTATGAAACGAAATCAATAAAACTTTATAACATAAGAAAGCATATGGTATCATAATAGTGACTATATATACTTCTTCGTATTTCTATACTTATATATACATGACGAATGGACAAACATACAAGAAAACGTTCAAAAATCGAAAACGTTGTGAGATCTTTAACGTGCCTCCGTTCAAGTGAGTTATATATCTCTTGGTATGATCGAGTAAAGTCATTTAAACTTTATAATATATTAGAAACCATATGCTATCATAATAGTAATTATATATTTCTTTCGCATTTCAATACTTACATATACATGAGTTGTAACATGATGAATATACACCCAATTTGGATAGCTCAACCGGTGAAATGGAAAAGCAAAACGTTTGTCTCGTTCCGAGTTCAAGCCTCAAACTCGGGAGAAGAGCGTAATTCCAATCACATGGCTTGCTCTCGGTTCCGGAATTAGTTTGGGTATCGATCCAGGACAACCGGTTAAAAAAAACATGAGAAATGTATAAACATCCAAGACAACGTTCAAAAACCAAAAACATTGGGACATATTTAACGTTTTCAAGAGTTATTTTCCATTGGCTAGACAATATTTTTGTTATTATTGCTAATCTATTGAATATAAATCTATAATCATATATAGTATTTAAAAAATACTATTGATTGTACAACGAATAGAATTCTTAACAAAAATTAAAAAAAAAAACAAACGTAATTGGAAATATAATCATATATATATATATAAACGCAACAAAAATCTCATTTGAAAGGAAAAAATCCTAAAATATCTCGAATTTGCAAAAAAAATATACAAATAAATATTTAACTTATAAAGATGTCATTTAAACCCCAAACTTAAAACATGTAACTGAATAAAATTTCGAACTTGTAAATTGTTATTCTAATAATCTGTTGACCGATTTGACCACAATTTCAGGCGATCGAAAATCCGTGTTGGTCCCAAAAACTGATGTTAACGTGTCTATGTAACCAATTTTAAATGATTTTTTGCCACATCAGTATTTTTTGGATCAAAAATTAATCCAATTTAAAAATAAATAAATTTAATTTTTAAAATTAGTTACATATACACGTACATCAGCGCCAACGTAGATTTGCATGTTTTTTTTTTCTCATTTGAAATCTTGGACGCATTATTATTTTGATTATTGCTAACCTTCTGAATATAGAGAGAAGCGGGTCTAAGTGACAACAGAAATCGGGCAAACATCAAAAGTAACAAAAAAAAAAAACATGTTGTCGCCTGCTTATCACAAAATCCCATCCGAAGTGAAATACCACAATAAAAAAAAAACTAAACCATTAAGAGTGGACAAAAAAGAATCACTGCAAGAGAAGAGATTCCACATCTTAAGCCACGACCGGAATCTCGGTCTCTGGTACGGGGACTGCAATGGGTTGGTGAACAACCTGCTGCACCGGAATGTTAGCCGGTCCTTCCTCGTCCTTGGGTGCGTGGATGGTGACCTGGTCGGGAAGTGGGGTCTTCGGACCATGCTTCCCCTTCGGATCCCAATCCAACATAATCTTGACCTTGATACCGAGAACACCCTGAAACAACATCACCCGGATATAACGTTACAGATTGAGACAGTTATGAGCGAATTCATGAGGTGTGCCATTGACAGGGGGGGGGAAGAGAAAAAACCTGTCTCAAAAGGACATGTCTGACGGCTGAGTCAATGTAGTCTTTGCATGGCTGACCAGAGGAGATCATGTATCCGTCTTTGAACTTCATTGATTTGGCACGTTGAGCTCTAAGCTTTCCGCTGACAATCACCTGTCAAATAAAAAATCTGACTTCAGAATGTGATCATCGGAATAAAAGGGTATTTGATGGAACTCGAAAGATAATTGAACGGAAGAGGTGAAAACGCACCTCGCAACCCTTGGCACCGCTCTCCATGACAAATCTCAAGACACCATAGCAAGCCCTATATCAATAATGATTAAGGAACGGACAAAATCAGACCAGTACTAAGGTTTTAATTGATCAAATCATAGGACTGAAAGCCTTAAAATTTAAAGCACAAAACATCAGACACACATTCAGGCAAAAAAGAACAATAAGACACAGGATTTAATCATCCAACTACAGCATGATCTAAGATTTAGAACCATGACTTGCGAACAAAAAACATACATTAATCAAATTACAGTGTGCCCTCTGTATTGTTACAGCATGAAAGAAAAGACTTTCATACGAATGATGGCAAAGGAAGGGCTTATATCAATGTTGTCATCTTCCGACACAAAATCGGTACAGCAGCAACCTATTTGCTTTATAGATGACATAAACAATGAATCTCGATGCATAAAAACATACATTGGAGCATATTCACTGGAGACACAAAGCCAGACTGACAAAATCCAACTCAGTATGTTCACTCACTGGTTCTCCAACACAAACCACATGCAAATTTTAAGAGGGTATAGATAACACCTGACAATACGATTTGTGTCATGGGTGGACATTTACCGAGATGAAACAAGTAATGCACAAACACATTCATCAGATTAAACAATGTCCCCTCCATAGAGCTACAGCATGAAAGAAAACGCTTTCACCATAACTATGCCATGGAGGAGCTGATACTAATGTTGTCACCTTCCGACACAAAATTGGTGTTGCAGTAACCCATTTGCTTTGTAGATGACCCAACAAACGATCTTTCATGACTAAAGCCACAGTCAAATTGGACGTGACAGGAAAAACTCAGAGACCACCAAAAACACTGCTGAGGAATCAGACTAAGTAAAACACTAATTAACACGACAAAAGCAAACACAAACAAGTCGTACCTACGAACAGCAAGACCGCCCAAGAGCTTGTAGCGGAGAGACTCAGCCTGAGCGATGGCACAGAGACCTCTGTTGTTAACTTTCTCAGCATAAAGCTCAACACTGTCCTGAGGGAATCTGAATCTCTTCTGAACAAGGGATGTGAGTTCCCTGATTCTCCTTCCCTTCTCACCTAAATCCCACACACTCAACATTTAATTAGAGAAAACGTCGAACGGATCTCCAGAAATCGGAAAACCCAGATAATTCAAATCAACCAATCATAGATAACTGTACATTGCAAACAACGGCATCGTACGCCAAGGAGCTCGTGCGAAGAATATATCAGGGAAAATGTCAAGGAATTTTACGACGTACCCAGAACGTTTTGGGTACGGGTGGCTCTGATGATGATCTCGGTACGCATTGGAGTAACTCTGACCTCAACACCGGAGTACCCATCTTCGGCCAGCTCTCTGGTCAGAATCTCGTTGAGCTCGGCGAAGAAAACTCCGTCAGCGACGAACTAAAAAAGCCAAATTCACGAGGAGAAAAGTCTCTAAGAATCGAAAATCTATCAAAAACTTTGAACAAAGAGAGATCAAATAACAGATGAACAAAATAGCACTCACCTTCCTCTTCTTGCTGATCTGAGTTGCCATTTTCTAGGGCTTTGGAGAGATCGGTTGACAAAGCGAATGGAATCTGCGGTGGAACGAGAACTCGGAAGGATATTATAAGTGAGAACACGTGATATATATACTCCTAAGGAATTAGGGTTCTTCAGATAAGAAAGGTTTTGTTTGGAAACGGGTGTGAGCCTGACCCTCGTGAGGAAAACAAAACGCAACGTTTCGAAAGTTTTTTTTTTTTGCTTGAAAATATTTTTCGGCTATTTAATGGGCTTTAAATTAATGGCCCGTATATATTTCGGCGTATTTAATATTCTTTAATGGGCCACCCAGTGGAATTTTAGATTAATGGGCCTAGTTTTGAGCTTGGGTGATTTGGGCCTAACTCACAGCACCAAGTTCAGTAAAATTTCTGAAGGTAGGGGCGGGTTTTGGTTCATTTATATTCCAGTTCAGTTATTTTGGTTTTTATATTAATTTTGAATTGGTTTGATTTTATTTCGATTCGGTTTAGTTCGAATTTATTGGTAAAAAACTCATTTCTTTTAAAGAAATTATCAGTTTTTTCGATTCGGTTCGATTTTGTTTGGGTGTATTCGAATTTAGAGAAATAGTAATCGTTCAGTTTTTATGTCAGATTCGGTTTGATTACGGTTATATTTTATTCGGTTCGGTTTAATTGGATTATTCGGTTAATAACCAAAATGATTATCATAATTGAACAAATATAGTTTATTTAAAATTTAAAAAAAAAAACCCAAACTCTAGAAAGTCAAATCTAAATTGAGTCGGAATATATATGAAACTAATTAGTATGAGGACAAATTTTAGTATTAAGGTGATTGTGGGAATTTTAATAAATAGGTTCACAATAACTTTTTTTTGAATCCTTGTGTATTTTTTATTATCGAATGGAGATTCTTTTTAAAAAAAAAAATTATAACAGAAATTAATTTAGCCCGTCACTAGAATCTAACCCCGGATCGTGTAACGAGGAAGTAGAGCACCGACCATTGGGCCATGTCGAATAAACTAGGGTTCCTCCCATTCACGTCCATTATTTTTCACATGTTTTTGTCCAAAATAGGAGTGGACTATATTGGACAAAGAATTTAATCTAAACCCTCGCATCATGAAAATTTAATTATTAGAACCAAAATAAATATTTTTGAATAAATATACTTATTCTGAATAAAAAAACAACTAATAAATTTATCCTCTTCAATATAAAATAGATAAATAATATCCAATATTTTAGGGTATTTTTAAAAGATATATGTAAAGATCCAAAATATAAAAAAAAATACTTTTTTTGTTGTTGTTGTTGTATATATAAGACTAAAATATTTGTAAAAGACTAAATTATTTATAGTACTATATCACGTTTGAAAAAAAAAAAGATAAAGGTAGATACTATTTTTTTTCTTTTTATTAGTTATGGTCACATTAAATAAAAAATAACAATCTTCATAAAAAAATAAAAATAATAATAATAATGATAATGCAAAAATAGAAAATGGTTGCTTTCCGCCGTGATTGGGAGTGGTTGGAACTAAAGACGATAGATAGAACTATAAAAAAGGCAAAGATTCCGATCTCACATGCTATGTTTTGTATTTTTTTTTTTGTCGCATTTTATTAGTTTTTTTTTTGAATTTCTGATTTGGTCCTTTTATTTGGTCCTCCTTTAAAAAAAAAAAAATTTGTGATTTTGTTACCTTCATTCAATAAAATTATTATAGTCCCTAAAATACTCTCATTCTTTTTAAATTCAAGATTTTGCTAATAAATAGTTTTTTCGATGATTTCTATATTATTATTTTTTTGATAACGGAGGACTCCTACCTGCTACCCTTCGGGCGCGCTGACTAGGTAAACCTCCCACCCGAGAGCAGTCTTTGTATATGGATCATATAAACTCAGAAATTACTTCCATCCCCACCAGCCAGGAATCGAAGAATGATTTCTATTATGTTTCAAAGTAATTATTAATTATATTTTAGAAAATAAATATAGAAGGATCGATAAGAAAAGAAATTTGTTTGTATGTCCTTTTCGCAGTGGACACTTTCTCTTTGAGTTATAGTTTCAAATCATATAAATTTCGAATAAAAATTCTGCATTACGATGTAATGATAGAAGTTAGTAAAAACTTAATTCATTATTATTAAATAGCAGAATTTAATGACTATGTATTATCATTAATCTTAGGGTATGAATAGACGAATCATTCTATATAGTGTTAGATGAGAGGTTTAATTAATGTTATAGAATTGGATTGTTGGTCCAAAGTTGTATTGAAATTGTTATAACTATATATACATGTTGATTATAATAGAGATGAGTTATGAAAATATATAAAAAAAAAGACGTGATTTTTTTATATTTTCACATAACATACATCAATATAGATATGCATATAAAAGATAGATGATTCTAAATATATTTTGTTGGTAATCGGATATTTTGAATCCAGACCTAAACTAATTTCGGGATCGATAATAATGTAATTTGGATTATACGTCCATTTCTTAAATATGAGATTTGAATTCAGAACGTGACAGATTTGATGATTCCAAAAACTGAAATGAAGCAAACTCGAATTCGAAATCCTATGCATTTAAAATATTGTTAACGCGTTATGCATTCCAATTTTCCGTAATTATATATATAAATAAAATTGTTAGTTAAGATAATAGGGACAATAAAGAACCTCTATTAACGAATAACGAGTGATGGTGATGATGATTCCTAATGGTCTTCGTTATATAATTTTGTCCTTGACTTGTCTTCAACAACGCTTCTTTTTTTTGTCGTGGAGTGACGATAAAACCCAATAAAGTATTTTTTTCGTTTTTTATTGATTTATTTTTAATTCAGTAAGAGAGTGTGTGTGTGTGTGTGTATATATATATATGACCATGTATTTTTTTTAAGCTTTTCCAATAAAGCCAATTAAGTTCATTTTGCCCATCTTTGCAATACTTTTTGATCTTTTGTCCAATTTTTTTTTATAAAATAAATTGAATTTATTTTTCAAGCCTTCGTTATTCTTTTATCCATAGAGAGATTATCAATATAAATATTTATGTATTATATTAAGTTTAATATGTTAAGACATAAATATTGACTATGACATTGAAACCATTGACTTGTATGTTAAATATCTCTAATGGAGGACGAATTGTATTCCCAATAATAACATTTGCTTAGATTTACTTTTGGTGTATCTATTCACACACAATATATCATTTTAACAAATCATTGGTATTTTGATGCGAGTGATGAGATACATTATCGGTACAAGCAAAATAATCGGAATTTTTTTTTTTATCTAATTAGATTAATTTTGTGTTGTCTATACAAATGTGTCAAAAACTATGTGGATAAAACCTTTTAAGTATCTTTCTAAATTCAAATTTTAATAATTTGTTATAGTATAAATATTTTCTTAAAATTTTCCATCAGCTCGTTATATAGTTTGGTAAATTTAAATATATATATATTGGTTATGATATTGATACATATATAATTATTGCAAAAACCTAAGATGAAGAGGAGACGATGGGTCCCACTAGAAAAGTCACCTGCTCATGTGAGATCCAGACAGCATAGAAGAAGAAAGATTGGACTGCAGTGCAAGTGAGGCTCCTGCATATATATCTCATTTCCTCATTTATTGCAAATTTTTTTACGAATATTTTTATTTTATTTTCATTTTACGATAAGGTTGAGATATTTCATTTTGTTAGATCCTATTAAGCTCGAACATCATGATGATGATACTATCATCATCATCATCATTATAATAAAACTGAGTTATAAAGTGAGGTTTATACATACATATGTTTAATATTTTTTTAAGTATTAAGGCATACTATTCGGACTTAAAATAACTAATATAAAATTGAAAAAATCTGTTGTTTTGCGACAACTCGAACCGTTTACATTTTAAAACATTTGTCACGAAAAAACAATTAGAATAATCGAAATTTAAAGTTCATTCATATGAAAAAGCCATTAGCGATGCAAATATATATATATATCGCTAAATCCAGAATATCCACAGTATTGATCAATAGACATGGAAAAGACGAGCTTTGCATTATCATCCCTCGTGAGGTTTGGCCCATCCTCGGATTCAAATTTTAAGTCATGATGGTTACATTTTTATTTTAATAACTCAAAATATGTGATATATATAATTAATAAATTAAGTACGTAGAGGTGTATGTATATGTATGACATGAACGTGGACAACTGTTCATAGGGCGATTAAAGGATGACAAATAAGGGACATGGGTTTAGGTACACAAAACTAGAAGTGATGTACAATACTTTATGGAAAAAAAAAATGACATTTTATTACTAATGATAATTGTCCGATATTAAGCGTTATTTTTAATAATTAATCGCTTTTTTCTCAACTTTGGACTTGGAGGCATCAAACCGTAACCTTTTTTTTTTTACATTAGAAAGTCAAAATTCTTATGAGGGTTAGAAATTCGAAAATTTTTATATTTCAATCTTGTCATTTAATTGTTTATTTTTTTACAATATTTTATTTGGTCTAAGTTATATTTTATTTCAAAATGCTCATTAACTCAAACCTCTTCCCCAAAAAAAAATATTATTTTTCATCCTTTTATATATTTAATTTGAATTTAAACAGCATAAAATTTGTAAAAATTATATCCAATTCATGTGCATTTATACATTGTTTGATATTATTTCCTCTCACTCAAAGATATCTTTGTGTTCAATGTCTTAAAAATACAAGATACTATACTTCTCTTTATTTCCCAAAAAAAAAATATTATTTTTCATCCTTTTATATATTTACTTTGAATTTAAACAGCATAAAATTTGTAAAAATTATATCCAATTCATGTGCATTTATACATTGTTTGATATTATTTCCTCTCACTCAAAGATATCTTTGTGTTCAATGTCTTAAAAATACAAGATACTATACTTCTCTTTAAATTGGCTCTGCTACCCAACAACAATATTTAATTTGCCTTTAAAATACCATTAAATTTTCAAGTTAGAAAGGCTCATTATTAATTAGGACCTTGACGAAATTGCCAATCTCTTTATCAATTTTACAAGTACAGATGCAGAGAAATCATTAGAATTTTGATTAAATTTTAAATATAAAAAAATTATAAATCACAGAAAGGATAGAAAATTGCACAAAAAAGAAAGGAAACTTTTGGGGAACATTTATTTCTAACATAAATGAGAGAACGAAAAAGATGGGAAGTGAGGATCTAATGGCTGTGAAGACTAAACAGTTCACAAGTACACACACCAATGACGCATGAAGCTACAGAAACTTGACCCCATATGTAAATATTATGATTCTACTTTCCACCCCTCAATTTTGTAATTCTTCTGCATTTACCCACAGTAAAAAAGAATTGACAGAAATGACCCCCAGAATGTCATCAAACAGGCCTGATTCTCTTTTGCCCTGCCTTGCCTCCTGCGCTCGAATCTCCCTCGGACAAAGCGTCCATCGACTTGGAGAAGTTGTTGGAAAGATCGGCGTAAAGATCCGCGACTCTCCTCATGTTATTGTTGAGTTCTCGGATCAGACCGACGTTTCTTCCGAGGTTATCCGGGATCTTGGATTCGTGATTCTTGTTAATCTCATTGATTAGCAGCTTGTTCTGGTCCAAAATGTTCTGAACTTGGACAAAACTCTTCTGAAATGTCTGAAGAATCTTGCCATCAAACTGTGCTCCATTGAACATGTCACCCTCCATTGATAATATATAGATATTCCCTCTAATATCTGTAACCTAAGCATATGATACAAACCCATCATCAATCATATATAGCAAGACTCGTATAATGATTCAAAAGAGGCATGATTAATAACATTTCTTCTTATTATTTTTTTTTAAAAAAAAATGGAGGATAAGAAAGAATATCACAAGTGCACAAACTAAACCAGACAAAGATATATCCAAAGAGGCTTTGTCTTTGTTTAGTCTGCTTTTTTTTGTGCCCATATGAGACAAGAATTGCTGTTGTATATATCATCATGTCTTTCATGATTTTTTATTTTTATTTTACCAAAACTTCTCCTCAAGAAAAAAAAATAAAAATAAAAAAATACAATCAATATAAATAATTGATGAATCAATGATGCAGATCAATATCATTACTTATATAAACCCCATATATGTATGTATGTATGTATTTTGGTGTTGGGTATTGTAATCACTTGTACACGAACTATGATATATGATTCCATGTGCAGACAAAAAAAGCATAGATTATTTCCACAAAAAGGAACTTTTTCTTTGGGTACTGCACATAAATTCACACAAAAGAAAACCACTTTATTTTGGTTGTAATTATGTATGTATACATGTTCATACAGAAGATTTTCATGGTTGTTAGTGCCATACAAAAATAGGAATTCTATGCCTAATAACAATCTTTAATTTGCGACTTTTATAATTTAAATCGGTGGACCGTTTGTTTAAGATAATTTAGACTTTTGGGATTAAACAAAATATAAATAGCAAAAAAAGGGTTTTTTTTTGTTTGCCCTAAGAAGAATCTGAATACCCAAAACTACGCAGTCAATGATGCAGAGACAATGAGCCATTTGTGGGTTCTGCTTCTGCTTCAGACAAACCTCATTACTATTCTCACCCAATAAAACCATGAAAAACTATTACTTTCCTTCCTTTTTTATTTTTATTTTTATTTTAAAAAAAAAATCACATTTTCTAATATTTTAAAAAAAAATGTATTAAACACAAACGCATACATGCCATGTATATGTGTATGTATGTACCCATAAAAAATGGCTGATGGTGATTCCAAACACCGAACTATAATATTTTATCATACGAAACTCGTACTGTTATATTTATTCAATATTTAATGTTTATGAGTTATTTTATATAATATTATGTTACGTTATGTGATAAAAATTGACCTAATTTTCATTTTAAGGGAAAAAAAGAAAACGAGGAAAGGCTGAGAGAACAAATCAGCGAAATCCGAAAATATAAATAAATAAAAACTCGCCAAAAAAAGATAAATATTTATAATAATATATGAGAAACTCATCTGGATTAAATTAAAAATTATGAAATAGAAATTAACAAATATTAGAACACATCAAAAGCTCGGACAGGAACAGAAGAACAAGGAGATGAGATCTTGGATTAAGTTAGAACAATTAAGCAGAGACAATAATCACGACAGAAACAATGGAGACAAAAAAAAAAGGAAAATAATGAAAAAAAAAATTACGATACCTGGAAAAAGTCTCAGGACATTTATACGGTCGGAGAGAGAGGAGAGAGAGAGGCGGGGATCTGCACAGGAAGGAGAGCGAAGATCGCCGATCGGACAGACCGAACCGAATCTCGCGGACAAAAGTTTCGGCTTCAGTTTTTTCTCTCTCTGATTTGATTTTCTCGGAAAATCTGTGTAATTTTCTCGGAGGGAGAGAGAGAGAGAGAGAGAGAATAAGGAGATTTGACAGTCACGCAAAAGAGGACCCTCAGAGAGTGTTTTAAAGATGGAATATATATCCAACCTCTTCTGGTTTTATTTAGATTCGAAACTTTATTACTATTTTCTCCATTATTTTATTTTTCTTTTCAACACATATTTCCGGTATATATACATATTCTACCAGAGATGAGCATTTCGGTACGGTTGTTCGAAATCAAATCTTATTGAACCGAAAAATGTGCTACTTTTTCAAACCGAAGCGTTCAAAATTTTTGAAGGGTATTTTTTAGAAAATCGAATTTTTCATAATCGAACCGAACCAAACCATATTTTAAGAGAATCTGAAAAATTATTTTTTTTAAGAATATCTATATTTTAATGAAAACTATAACCTAAACCAAACCCGACGAAGTAATATAATAACTGATTGATATATATATTTTTGTAAAACTAAAAAATCCGAACCGAACTATCTCTGAATCGAATATCGAAACGTGTACCCTATTTTCTACATTGTTTATTTGAGGCGACGTTTTTAATCAATGGGAATAAAATAATATTACAGATATTCCTTCACTTGAAAAAAGTTTTATTTTTTCAACGTAATCAAGGGGGAATGGAAAAGATATTTTCTTCAATTGGAGAAAAATATATATTAATTATTCTTTTATTACGGAAAACATACATTTTTATGATTTGAAGAAAACTATATTTCTTTTAGAAATTTGATATGTTTGTATGCATTAACATATTAATATATGATGGTTTAAAAACATTTATGCCTTGTCAAATAACTAAAATATTAGTACTTTATTAGTAAATTTTGTTATATATGTTTTTCCATTAAAAAAAGGTTTATAGATATTTTACCATTTTCATTATCATGAATTGTTTTCAATTAATTTTATTGAAACAATATGAATTATTTCTAGATTAAAATATATTTTCCTTGGCGTAAATTTTATTTTGTTTTCAAGTAAAATGATCTTTTTTTTTGGTAAACTAAAATGATCATTTTTCTAACACTCATCCATCATAATCTGATTTTCTAACTGTAATCAGCAATATGCGGAATTAATTTCAATATTTTTGTTCGTACGTTAACCAATTATGTGTGTGCTTATATTTTTATTTATAGACTAGTTTTCTAATATAAATTGCACCACAAAACTCTAAATAATTATATATAACTCGCAATTAATATAAAAACTTTTCGGTTTATGAATAATAATCAAGTTGATTTAGTAAACCATATCATAAAAATCACGAATATAATAATTTACATGCCCCAAAATAATTATTGTATTTTTTTCATATCGATGCTCGTTTATTATAATATATAATGTCGTTGCCATGTTATTGCATGCCATGTATTTTTCTAAGCGTATATATCATATTATTCCATATAATTTTATTGTTTTTATTACAAGATTATATTGAATACTTTTAAAATCCTAAACGCATTTTTTGCATATTACTGCCCCTAGTTAATTCAAAAGTAACCATATGATATAATATAAAAATGTGTAAACTATTTTTTGGTAGAAAATTGTTTTAGGGAAGTTCAAACATGTTCCATAAATTGATAATTGAGGTCTGTAAGGAACTAAATAAACTTATTATTGGTGGTAAAATATAATAATTTGGGATATTTGAATATTTTGTCCAACTTTTTTGTATGAAGTTAAGAACGAGTGCATGTATGTGTAAGTAATATTAAAAATTATATAATTTTGTGAATATATAGGATTGGTTCATTAAGTTATATATTCTTATGAGTTTTATATAGTTCGATCCTTGTTGTGGTTGAATAACCAAAATATAAAATAGAACTCCCTATTGGTGCTCCAGTGCTGGAGATGTGACAAAAGTTATTTTAAGAATTAAGTGTCTCGAAGGCCCAAAAACTTCCTAATTATTAAAAAAAATCCAAATATAAATATATCCTATGACCAATTTTGATTTATTATTTATAGAATTTTATGGCTTTTTTTAAATATTTATTCAATTAAACTACTGGTCAAATATATCGGCCCAAATTTTGGTCTAAGACTTCAAAATTAGCTGGCTTATTAAGAATATTAAAAAATCTAAGATTTTTATTAGTAAATACATACGCTATTTTATACCGATGTAATTTCGTTGAAATGTGCAAAATCATTACATTATTTCACTATAATTTCGTTGAAATGCACAAAATCATTGTATTATTTTACTATTTTATCATTCTATTATATTACATTACCAATTAAATTAGTGACAACTCTTTTTACAAAAATTATCTTTAGTTTCAGAAGTAGAAGAGATTCACGCAAAAAAAAACAATCAAGATTTGAAAATATATATATTTTTAAATTAATCGAAATACCATACGCGCAAGTGGCATTACAAAATAGAACCAATAGAAAAATAAATTTAAATATACTTGAACAGAAAAATATAAATTCTGATTCACTTTATAACTAAAGCAGCAAAGTTGAAAAACATCTTGGAAATTGACAAAGAAGGAGGAGACAGTTTATACTTGGGATTACTAGAACAATTTGGGAGATCAAAAAGCAATTTATTTGCTTATATAAAAGATCGCCTACAAAGCCGCGTTAATGGGTAGTATGAACGATTTTTATCCCAAGGTGGGAAAGAGGTACTGCTTAAGTCTGTGGCTATGGCAATGCCTACATATGCTATGTCGTGCTTTAAACTACCGAAAGATATTTGTAAGAAATTAAGTAGTGTATGTTCACGATTCTGGTGGAGCAAATCAAGCGATTCAAAAGATATCCATTGGCTTTCATGGGACAAAGTTTGTCGTCACAAGAAAGATGGAGGAATCGGGTTTAGAGATTTTGAGAGCTATAACATAGCATTATTGGCTAAACAAATATGGAGACTCCTTCAAATGCCAGAATCTTTGCTTACTCGATTATATCGTGGTATATATTTTGTGAATGGGAATGTTCTTAATGCATCTCTTGGTAAGCGACCTTCATATGGATGGCGAAGTATTTGGTCGGCAAGATTCTTGATACTGCGAGGGTTAAAACGAGGTATTGGCTCGGGGTCACAAACAAATGCATGGATGGAGCCTTGGATTATGGATTATAAACCACGTGCAGGTCAAGGACCGGGAAGATTAGTGCGTCCGAATCTTAAGGTGTCTGAACTAGTTGATGAAAATGGCAATTGGAAGGAAGATATTTTAGTCTCTTTGTTTAATCAAAGAGATGTAGAAATAATTTTGAAGATATGTCCGCCAAACCGTGTTTGTCAGGATGTCTATAGTTGGATCTTTACAAGACATGGATCGTATTCGGTTCGATCAGGATATTGGATAATGGAGAAAGTATTAAAAAAGGAGAACAAAGAAAATGCAGTGGAAGAACCTAGCTTCAACGATCTCTTGTCAAAAGTATGAAAGTTATCTATACCGACCAAAATTAAGGTCTTCCTGTGGAAGACTATCCATGGATATCTGTCCGTGCAATCACGTTTGATGACACGATTGATTACAAAAGAATCACATTGTGTGATATGTAACTGTGCCGAGGAAACCATTAATCATGTTTTATTTGAGTGTCCTATTGCTAAGCAAGTCTGGCATATGGGAATTTCTTTTGGAAATGATGATGGTTTTCCGTTTAGTTCGATTTATGCCAACATAGACTGGCTTTTCGCTCTAAGAAAAGGTACAGAACGTGAAGCTCGTAATTTTTTTATGTTTCCTTGGTATCTCTGGCGGATATGGAAGAACCGCAACGCACATATTTTTAATCAAAAAGAATATCGACCATTTGAGACAGTGGCAAAAATTAACGAAGACTATGCGGAGTGGCGAGCTACCACAGAGTGTAATGAAACACAAATAAATCATACAAGTCAGGAAATTATCCCGTGGATAAATCCCCCGATGGGTATGGTGAAATGCAATGTGGATGGATCGTGGAAAGCTCAAGATGATTTTTGTGGTATGAGATTGTTACTAAGAGATCATGAGGGTAAAGTTATTTGTTGGGGTGCCCGAGCAATACGGGTTCCTGAATCCCCTATGGAGGTAGAATTTTTCGGACTACTATGAGCGATGAAATGCATATTACAAAGAGGTTGTAGGGCTATGCGATTGGAGATGGATGCGAAAGAAGCTGTAGAAGAGATCAATAACAACAAGAAGTCGTTAAGTTGGCAGAGATATACTCAAGAAATTGAAGTGCTTTGGGAGAGGTTTCCGAGCATCAGTTTGACTCATATACAAAGGACTAGTAATTCTCCGACTGATGCGATTGCGAAATTTGCGTTGAATCGTAAATCTCTTTTTGTCTTATATTCAAACTCCTCCCCTGCGTGGTTTTCTCGAATTGTAGCGAAGGATTGTCCTTCAACTTATTAATTTAATCTATTAATTTTTGTGAAAAAAACTAAAGCAGCAAATATGTCATGACAGTAGTAAATACAATTTTTTCCATGGGAAATGGGTCATCATGTGTATCAATTTAGTAGTAATACACATATAAATAAAGTCCTTAATATTAAAAAAAAAATAAACCATTTTTGTGAAAATGTTTTTTTTTTTCTTACAAAAAAACAAAATAAAATATTTTTCACGAAAATAAACTCTCTAAAAATAAATAAACAAAACAACAAAAAATGAAAATATCGGTCTCTGTGTGTGTGGCCACTGGATCCTCGGTTCGGCCGAGCATGTGAGACAATGAATATTTAATTATCTCGCGACGGCCGTTCTCATCCACTAACATCTTGACACGTGTGAAACGAGTCGACGTGAAACCCAATCGCCGACATGCGCGTGGCGCTGTGGTAGGGTTTTTTTTTTATTCTACCGATAACGGAGGGAGAGGCAGAGATCACACCTTCCCCCATCGTCAGGACACGCTGTCCAACGATGATGTGTGGGACCCATCTTCCTTTCTATTAGATTTTTCATTTTTTTTTCTTTTATCTATTCAATCGTTTTTTCCACTCTTATTGTCGTTATTACTAGGGTGGTCATTTCGGTTATTAACCGAATAATCGAGCTGAACCGAACCGAATAAGATATAACCGAATCCGAACCGAACCCGACATCAAAACCGAATGGTTATGATTTCCTTAAACCCGAAAAACCGAAACCGAAATCGAACCGAACAGAATAAAAAATAACCGAAAAAACCGAGAGAATAACCGACAATTTCTTTGGAAAATTGAACTTTTTACCAAAACCGAACCGAACCCGAACCGAAAAATAACCGAACCGAACTGAACCGAAATTTATATAATAACCGAATGGTTATAGTTTTTCTATAACCGAAATAACCGAACCCGAATATAACCGAACCGAACCCGAACCGAAACCCGAATTGGCCACCCCTAGTTATTACCCAATTAATAAAACAGTTTTTAAAAATCTTAACTATATTAAAATGTTATTTCTAAATTTGATACAGTCGAAAAAAACTGTGGTCCATTGGGTATTATTTTTATTTTTATATTAAAACCGGTAATTTAAATTTTATCTAATAATTTTGTAATGCTATACGTAATTAAGTTGACACTCTGTCACATATGTATAAACATAAATTATCATTATATTATGATATGATATTGCTATTACTATGTGTGAATCTTTAAACATGGGCCGATTGTTTAAGACATATTTATTTTCCTTCAAATTTTTTCTACATAAATAATTCTGATTAATATTTATGAAATAATGCTTAGTTTTCCGCTAGTTTTAAATTCCTTTATGTAAACCAACATTTCCAAATCCCATGATTACAAAAATACATTTGTACTCTTTTTGTATTTGTACTACATTCATGATTGAAATTTTTATTTTAAAGTTGAAGTCTTATATAAGATTAACATTAATATATATTATATAATTTCTAAAAAATATCCATCTTATATATAATTATAGTTTTCCTTATTAAATTACAAAAATGGAATTAATCGTATCGAATTTGAATGGACTGTAACATTTGTTGAAGAAACCAACTCCAAAATAGTCAAAGTTCGAATCTAAGATTTATATTACATGGAACAATCAACAGCACGAAATTTTTTGATAATTTTTTCTATGTTTTTTTTTGGTTATTTTTTTATGTTATACATTATATAATTCCTAAAAAAAATTCATCAAAACTTTAATATCTTATTCGTTTCAATACATATCTTTCCTTTCACCTCATGGCGTAGTTCTTAGAGATTATAATTATATTCGCTAATAGATACATAATTAAATAAAATAACGACCAAATAATCTAGGGGCATATTAGTCATTTTCAAAACGAGATATAAAAAATCATCCGTTCCCAAGTTCCTCGCTACTTCGCCTATCTCAAAGTACGAGTCCGTGCACGACATGAACATGAATGATAATATTAATAACAAAGCAGATAATTTTTTTTTGTTTATGAATAATTATAGTTATATCCATTAATTAATGATGTAATAACATAATAATGGATAAAAAAAATTAGTATTTAAAATCGGGTGATTAAATATTAAACCGACCCTAGGATGATTTGCAAATTGCAATGATTACCTGTAATCTCCACCATTGGTTGGGCTTAGAGGAGACAGCTTGACGACACATGACTCAGTTCCCACACTCACAAGACAAACCATGCCTCAATTTTATTATTTATTTTCTCTAAAACTAAATGGGAATTTAATTAATTAAAAAAAGGGTTTTATAAATTATAATGACTTTTAAATAAATTTTTAGCACGGTCTTCTTTAAGATATTAGTTTATCCAGCTTAGGGATGATTAACATTTTTGTCCGTTATTTTCTATGAAACAATTTAAATTTATATTAATTTTTGTACTATTAGCCAAAATTAACCATGATGTATATCAATAATATACGTTTACGTATTTAAAATTGTATTATATATAAATCCTACTGTTCCAAATTTAAAATAATTTAATAAAAAATTATATTTTTTTATATTTTAAATTATTTTTTAGCTTTATTTAAAATTTTGGATGATATTGATTTTAAATAGATGTTAAAAGATGAGAAATTTTTTTTCCATATTATTAAAAATATCGAAAGTTTTTGGATTTATAAAGAGTTAAATGTTTAAATGAATCATTAAAGAATTGACTATTAATTTTTGGTTTTATCCTAAATTTTCTGATTAGAAACCAATTATTGTTATTATGTGTTTTTCTTATTATTATATCAAAGGTGGTTAGAGTATTAAAATTTGATCGAAACATAAAAACTATCATGTAATGATTCAATGAAAGATTTGATCGGTAATTTAAAATTTTGATATCATTAAGATTAACTTATAATCTAATCCATATTAATTATTTCGATTTATATATATACATATATATATTGAATGAATCGGTTGAATAACATTATTATTTTAGCCAAATTGAATAGAATTAAAAACCGAATATTTATATTAATTAGATAAATTGAATTTCAAAAAAATCCAATTCAATAAAAGACCAATGAAAATAAATTTTAGTTTTGATAAAAAAATAAAATGCGATCACATTTTAAAATATGACTTAAACTGAAAAACTTCAATTTTTCAAATAAATAATATGACTTTATTTAAAAAAAACTCCAATTTATTTGAAAATAGTCAAATCGAAATGGAATTGAAGTGAAGAAGTGATCAGTCATGGAGGAAATACTTTGAATAAATGAATTAGGTTCTAATTGATTTATACTTTAATTGCGTCATTGTTAGGTGTAGTTGAAACTAATGCAGTTATTATAATTTCTCAATGAAAATTTTTGTGTGTTTTATGTCAGTAAAAATTCTGGTTTATATGTTTTATGTTAGTAATTTTTTTTTTAAAAAATCGTACCACATTTTTATATGTTTTTTTGGTTGAAATGTCAATAATTTCATATATCATTTATTTTATGATATATATATATATATATCCATTGACTTAGGTTATTTTTGTTGTATTTTCGCCAATAATTATGCTTTCATGTTTTGATTATTTAAAAACCATTTTTCTTAGTTATAGATATAAAATAACTTTTATCTGTTATATTTTGGGCCTTGAATGGTTGGAAACACACTGATTTACCTTTTTTTTTTTTATCCAAATCTTTATTTATTTTTCACCTACTTTAAAATATAGATAAAATCACATATAAATTACTAAAATTTTATAAAACTTACAGATAATATCCAAAATTTAAAAAAATTATATAAATGTTTAGACTTTTGAAAAAAATTTAAATAAACCTAAAATTTAGGTATTTTTGAAATAAAAACAATCAACTCTATTAATAGATTCTAGATTTATTTAATTTTTTTAAAAGTCTAGATTTTTCTATTTTTGAAAAGTTAGATATTTATATGAAGGTTTATTATCTTAAAAGTTTTGTAAAAGTTTATGTATTAATATTGTCATTTTTAAAAAATATAAAAAAAAAAATGAAGGACGACACATTGGCGGATGGATTTGTTTAAAACGGGTTTTGACTGAATCACACAGTTGATCACACACACAAATCTCACCTGCTCCACACGACGGCGATAAACAATGCTCTGCGCGAGAGCTCGTCCCCTATTTTCCTCCCCATTTTCCCTCACTTTCTCGGCAGCCAAACACTCTCCATCCCTTCTCCGCCTCCCCTGCCAGCGCTCCGTCTCGGCCGTCGCCGCCATGTCCTCTTCTTCAACCCCTGAGATCATCGAACACATCGTCCTCTTCAAGGTCAAGGACGACGCTGACTCCGGCAACGTCACCGCCATGCTCAATGGCCTCAACGCTCTCGTTTCTCTCGATTCAGTGGTACATCTCGCCGCTGGTCCCATCCACCGCCCCAGATCCGCCTTCACCCACGTCCTCCATAGCCGGTACAAGTCCAAGGACGATCTCGGCGTGTACACTGCACATCCCGATCACCTTCGCGTTGTCAAGGAATCGGTCCTCCCCAACTGCGATGACATCATGGCCGTCGATTGGGTCGCGGATCGTGTCCCCGGAACCCTAGTTCCGCCTCCGGGATCCGCCGCCAAAGTCACGTTCCTGAAGCTGAAGGAGAATGTTTCCGATGAGGCGAAATCGGAGATTCTGGACGTGATCAAGGGGCTTGATGAGAAACTTCCGGGGATTGATCAGATCACTGTGGGCGAAAACTTCTCTCCGGCGAGAGCGAAGGGGTTTTCGATTGCGTCGATTGCTTATTTTGGGGATTTGGGCAGATTGGAGGCTCTTGAAGCTCAGCAAGATCTGGTGAACTTGCAGAAGGAGAAGGCTCGTGATCTTCTCGACGGCGTGATGGTTGTTGACTATGTTGTTCCGTCGCCTTCTAGCCTGTAAGAAGTTCAAATTGCAATGATTCTTAGACTCTCTTACTCTTGAATAAGACGAACCCTTCATGCTCCGATCAGAATCCGTTAGCGTCTCTGCGGATTTGAGATCGAATCAACATGTTGTGCATTTGGGTGATTCTGGTTTTGAGATGCTTCGATTTCAACATCGGCAATTTGGTATCATTTTCCTATGAATTCAATACCAACAGTATTCTGCAGCTTGTATTGTGAATCCAGCACTAACCACACCAGTGTTTAGGGTCCTCTCCTTGTTAGATTACTCGTTCTGACATTGCTTGGATTGAATCTTCTAGATCAGAATCACGGTTTTATGCTCTCGTTGTCGGGCCAATTGTGTGAACTCCAAACCGGCGAGTGTAGCTATATATCCATGGCCATGGAAATGGTTCGGTGTTACCCTCAGGGATCCATAGCCATGGAAATGGATCGTGGATGCGTTATATATACAAGGGTTGAGTACCTGACCTCGGCCTCTTTCCTTTGGTTTTCTTGATGACACTACCCCGTCTCGGTCTCGTAAGGTTGGATACCTGAAATCTGGGTACCGTGTGGTGCATTATGACTTGGGTACCTGACCAAAGAGGGCAAATTGGAATCCTAAATCTCTGGCTCTTTCGCCTCGTCCGACTGAATAAGATTTAAGAAACCCTGAAAAGTTTTTTATCTGAAGAAAAACCAGCTCGAGCTTGTGACAGGCTGACTCGTCTGGCCCTTGTTTTAACTGGCTATGAATTCTTAGTCTCGGACTGCATAGAAACGGGTCGGCCGCGAGCCGTCTCGCGGGTTGGGGATCGTTTTACATTGTCTACTGCACCCGAGGCGAGGACTTTGTGTTTTTTTTAAACTCTAAATACCCCTCAGCCCATGCTTGCCCTAATCTCCATCAACCTTTCCATCTCCTATCTCACAACCTTCTCGGTACCTCAATCACCCCCTCTCACTTGGGCCCGTGCACTCACTGGCCAAAAGTCCGGAATCGAAGGGCAAAATCGGATTCTCACCAGCGCTGGGCCCGCACTCAACCCCGTCAATGGACGAGTATCCCAAATTTGGGATGCCCGACTCGCGGATCGGATGGGCACTCATCATTTCAGTTGCCTAAAGCGTGTCTAAGTTATCATTGTGACTCGTTTCGCCGCACTGGTAGCGTCCTGCTCCTGCGTCGCCTCGACAATAGCACCTGCATCAGAGTAAATTAATGGACACCAAGTATGAAGTGAATTCCTTCAGCTAAAGAGTAAAACGAATTCACTCAAATGTCTTCGCCTCCATCGATACATTCCATCATCCAACCATTTTTCCTCTTCTGATGGTAAATTTTGTAAATTACAGAAATCTCAAGACACAAAAAGGCGAATGTTGTGAGAATCCAAAACAATTCCGACAGTCAAGAAACCATTGGAAACGGCTTTTTCAACAAAACCAAGTGACAACTTCCTGTTTCAGATTACAACAGATCAAAACGTAAGTAAGTATGTTCCGAATGTTTCGCCTCCGCCGCTGATCCATCATCAACTTCTCGAAAAACATCATAAACAATGTCGGTTTTATACGCACAGAGGGTGTGTCAAATGTACCGGTAACGAGGCAGAGTATTACCATTCTTTGCTCAAAACCTGCAGCCTCGAGACCAAGAACAAGGTTTGATGCTTAGATAGATTCGAGTCGGAGTTTATTTTCGCCGAGTTCATGGATTCCCATGCGTTCGGGTTTGATTTTTTCGATTTTAGCGTGGCTTATTAACCGAATTGGTAACGTGGTTGGGTTTGAGCCAAAGATTGTGAGAGATATAGAAAGGAATGGTGAACAACACTGCTTCTGCCTTCTCTGCACTATCAAATGGACATGAACATCATCATGTGCACAATGGGATGTGACACTAAATGTATGACACCCATATGAATCATTCTCTCTATATATATAAATTTACAATGATAATACATTTTGCGATAGGTCGTATTTTGTATTTTGTATTTTGTAAGTATGTTTGTGGCTTGAGTAATTTTTTTTTGGGATCCATTATTTATTATAAAGTCTGAAGGATGAGGACTTTGATGATCCTTGCGTTTTTCGTTTGAAGGAAAATTACTTCCCACACCATATAAAAAGCGTTCAAATCCTCTGCGTTCTCACTCTATGTACACTAGATTCCCGACGAACTGAAGCATCTCTCTCTCTCTCTCTCTCTGACAACTAGGGTTTCTTTCTACGTTCCGGTAATCGCCGGTGTTTCTGGCCGGCGGGTCAGTCATGGCGAGCGTGTACATACCGGTGCAGAATTCGGAGGAGGAAGTTAGGGTTGTTCTTGATCAGCTCCCTCGTGACGCCTCTGACATCCTCGACATTCTCAAAGCCGAACAAGCTCCCCTCGATCTCTGGCTCATCATCGCGGTTTGTTCTCCTCCAATTTTTTCTGGGGCTTTTCTTTTTATCACTCGATTTACCTTTCAGTGGAACGCTTGTTTGGGTTTCTTTGAGATTGTTTGGCTTTATTGCGGGCAAACGGGGTGGGTTTTCCGAGTTTTAGGGTTATGGGTTTTCGCTTTTCGGATTGCTTGACCTTGACTTCGATGGAAACTAGGGA